CGCATGGTGTAAAATCTTGATGATTTTCTGCATTCTGTTTGCTAGTATTTTATTGATGATTTTTGCACCTATGTTCACTAGAGAGATTGGCCTGTTGTTTTCATTTTTGTTTGGGTCCTTCTTTGGTTTTGGTATCAGGGTAATACTTACCTCCAGAAGTGAGTTAGGGAGAATTTCTTCCCCTTCAGTGTCATTGAAGAGTTTGATGAGTACTGGTGTTACATTTTCTCTAAATTTCTTGTAAAATTCTGCTGTGAGTCCATCAGGACCTGGGCTTTTCTCTTTTGTAAGTTTTAAACTATGTTTTGGATTTCATTCATTGATACTGGGTTATTCAGAATCTTTATACATTCTTGATTCAATTTTGAATTCATATGTATCTGAGAATTTGTCCGTTTCTTCTGTGTTTTCCATCCTATGAGAGTAAAGATTTTTGAATTTATTTATTTTAATTAATTTATTTATGTGTATGTGTGTGTGTGTGTATGTGTGTGTGTGTGGCCAGCTCAGCCCACCAGAGGGCAGGGCTGGCTGGCATGTGGTGCTGGGGGATTGAACTGTGGTCCCTGTGCTTTGCTAAACTTGTTCTAAGTAGGTGCTTTAGACCACTGAGCCATCTCACCAGCCCCAGAGAGTAAAGATTTTTGAAGTAGGTGTTGATCTCAGTTTCCACAGGATCTGCAGTGATTTTTACCCTTAATTCTTTATTACATGAGTTCAAATTATCTCTTTTTCTTTGATAAGGTTGGCTAGGTATTTATCAAATATATTTATTCTTCCAAAGAACCAACTCTGATTCATTAATCGTTTGTATTACTTTGTTGCAATTGCATTATTTTCTTCTTTGATCTTTATAACTTCCTGCCTTCTTTGAGCTTTGGGCTTGACTTGTTCTTTTTTTTTTTCTAGAAGCTTGAGGTGCAGTATTAGATTATGTACTTGTTCTTGTTGTTTTCCTGATGTGAGAGTTCACTGCTACAAATTTCCCTTTGAGGACTGCTTTCATTGTGTCCTACAGATTCAAGTAAGTTGTATTTGCATTTTCATTTGATTGTAGATATCATTTAATTTCTTTAATTTTATCTGCGACCCATTGGTTGTCAGGAGGGTGTAATTTAATTTCCATGAGTTTATGGAGTTTTCGAGGTTTGACATTAATTTCCAGTTTCATCGCATTATGGTCAGATAACATGCGTGGGATAATTTCAATTCCTTTGCATTTCCAAGATTTTAAATTTATCTGAGTCATTTTTAGATAAAACATAAATGGCCCAGTCATTGTAAAACATCTGCTACTTGAAGGGAAATGAAACGAACTGCTCTTTCTTCTTTGCTCTTTTCCTTTCTACCATGCATATTTGGGGAACAGGAAGGAGACAGTGACAATAAATCCATCAGGGCCGCCATGGATTCTCTAACAGATCATCCTGTGCTTTAATTGCTTTCCTCTGCCACTGGGCAAGGCTCAGAAAGTGATCATGGTGGGTGTCTGTACCTTTACCTCTCAAATACAGTGTGGGTACGCTGGAGATTTTATAAATTATAGCACAAAACCATAGGTTATCTCTTACAAATAAATGTGAATTCATAAAAGAAAATAACCTGAATTTACTAGATTTCACTATACAGAAACATTTAAGGAGAATAATAAGAATCAGCTGGTTGAAATGACCCCTGTCCAAATGATGCTCAAGATAAGTCAGTATGTAAACAAACATGCTTCCTGAGTGCTGTAAATTGAGTGGTTAACAGCACCTCATCTTATAGTGTTCGTCTACCAAGTCATTCTCGTTTGTTTCATATCTGAAGCAATGAAGATGAGCCTTAGTTCCCACTACCCTCTAGATCTCCTCAGTCTGACCAGATTTTCTCTTTCATAGTGTGGTACTGAGATTCAGAGGTGGCCCACCATCCTATGGAAAGAGCTGAGAGGATGTACACATTTCTGTGGGGTTTCATTTAGAGACCACCACCTTCACCAGGGCATAGGCAAGCAGAGCAAACCATTCTGAATAAGTAGATGAAAGGTCATACGAAAAGAAGCAAGATGAGAAGTTACCAGCCCTAGAGAGATTCCAAGATGCATCTAGGCAATTCTCATTTCCAGAATCTCTTGAGGCCTAGTAATTTTTTTTTCTCCATCAGTCATGTGATCTCTTTTTGGCATAAGGTTTTATTTATTTATTTTTGCAGAACCAGGGAACTTGAGCCCTTGAGCTTGCCAGGGAAGCGCTTATTCTACTGAGCCATCTCCTCAGCCCAGCATAAGGTATTTTGAACAGGTTCACATTACTTATAGCCTACAAAGCTTTGACTGTGTCAAATTGTTGAGAAACCCTCACTATAGCACCTTACTTCTAAGAATCATAACTAAGACTTACAACATGGCTTTCATGACCATATATAAACTTCTAAGAACCCTTACCAAGCACAAACTGGTAGGACACAACCTATGAACAGATACTATTACTTATCCTGCTTTAGTAATACATAAAAATACATATATTCATGAATGTATAATGTCAGGTTTAAGATTGTCTAACAGATCATCCTATCCTATGAGCATAGGAGGAGATATACCCTATGAAACGCCCACTGGAAATGCAATTGAAATAAAAAATTACAGATCTATGCTGGGTTATTAAATGTAGCTATAGCATTTATTTATTTATTTATTTATTTATTTATTTATTTATTTTGGGGAAGAGTCTACAGGGTAATCAGGGTCTCACTACTGGATTGGACTCGTAGTGATCCGCCTGTTTACAGCCTCCCAAGAGCTGGGATTACAGGCGTGTGCAACCACACCCAGTCTCAACTGCCATCTCAGCATGCCCTGGGGTGGGGCAGGCACAGCAGGCCCGGGGATTGAACCCCTGGCCCCTGTGCCTGCTTGCAGGTGTTTTAATCCACTGAGCTATTTGGCTGGCCCTTAGCTATAGCTATAGCTTTATAAGACGCTGATGTGCACCTGAGCTATGGCATCAGATGCTTAGGCTCACATGTGGCTTTTGCCACTAGCTAAGCAGAGTCAAGTCAAGCTGTTTATCTGACCACTGTGTCTCACTTTCATTATCTGAAGAATGTATTTAACTGTGGAGAGATGGAGGACACCCTTCCAGGCTTCCTAGTCACATTAGCCACAGTACAGCAAGTATACTGCTACAAGTAGCCAGGTTTGGGTTCGAAACAACTTCATTACAGTCCCTCTGCCTCTTTCAGGCTGTAGGGCCGGGGACATATTGTTCAATTTCTGAGAGCCTCACACTTTCTGTTGTCTAGAACACATGGCCCACTTCCACAGCCCTTTCACGAAAGGCTCTTCCCCATCTTCCAGGCAAACATACCTACCTTTCAAGACTTGATTTACAAAGAAACTGTCCCACCAAACCCTTCCTAATGCAGAACTGATCACTCTATTTTTCATGCTGCAGAGGTGACGAGGTGTGGGGACCAGCAAGGGCTCGTAGAAGCAGCAGCCTCAAAAGACTTTCAGAAGGAATTGATTTTTATGAGAGGAGCTGACATCATCCATGTCATAAGGAGAATATTTTGGGGGTTTCTGATCATCTTACTAAAATAACTGTCACAAATAGATGTCTTACAATCACTAAAGAGGAAAATGAAAGCAAGTTTAATCCCCTCCTCACATATCGTTGGAGTCAAGAACCACGGGCTCTGCACTGGAAAGCATCTTTCATTCAAAAATATTCCTTCCAGCACTGCTCTGGTCTGTTAGCCGAGCATTCTAAATACCTCTGTTTTCCATCATCTCTAGCAGGGATACTTTTTCCATCCTAGTTACCCTAGAGACACCCTAAGTGCCTTTGAGGCCTACATTCAGGATACCCTCCTTTTTTGCTCTAATTTTACCAGGTTTAGTAATTTATCAGTGCTTTGTTTGCATTCTGTACATACTCATATTTACATGACACAGGACCAGAATGACTGGGTTATGTATTTGCAAAATTAGGATGGTGATGCTACTAGTATCCCCAGCACATATTACATGCTAGATACTATGTTAAATTCTTAATATGAATTACCCATTTTACCCTCAAAATCCTACTAAGAAGTGGATGCTACTATAATATAGGTTGTTATGGTTTGTGTTTGGGTGTCTGCCAAAGCCTCATGCAGTCATGGTGTGGCTTCCAGTTTGTGATTAATTCGTGATCTAATGCTAGGGCTATGGCTGTGAGTGCTGCTGGGATTATAGGTGTGAGCACTACACCCGAGGATAGCCTGAAGGCAATATAAGGGACAGTGGCTTGCTGGGATTTGGGAGCATTTGATTTTTGACTCATGAATGCTCAATCTGCACCTATTTCACAGATAAGAGAACAGAGGGGAAGCAAGGTTAACTAACTTTTGTTGAGTTAAACACTAAAGGGCCAGGGAAATAGCTCAGTGGCATAAGCACCTGCCTGGCAAGCACAGGGTCCTGAGTTCAATCTCTGGTATTGCATAAATTGAGTGACTAAATGAATAAATAAATAAATACATTTTAGGGCCAGAGAGATAGCTCAGTAGAATAAGCACTTGCCTAGCAAGCACAAGGGCCTGAGTTTAATCCCCAGTTCTGCCAAAAACACCACCACCACCACCACCACCACCACCAACAACAACAACAAAAAACCCAAACAGATATACAGAAACATTAAATAGAAGACAGATGATTTTGACCAGTAAGTCTAGCTCCAAATACTATGTTTTTAAACATCATATGCTACCTTTACTCCTTTATTCTTATATTACCATACTGTGAAAGTTTCTTAAGTGCAAGAACCATAAACAACTCTACATTTCCAGTGCAGGGTTTAGCATACAGCAAACAAGCAGTACCTATAGGGTGAGTACATAAGGGAATGCATTCAGGAACGATCAAAGATCTTTCTCTCGGACAGGATCACATGTGGCCCTGTGTGGCAGTGGGTTCCTAAGGTCAATATGAGGACCACCACACAGGAACTTCTTCAGCATTGTAGTTATGTACTTACCCCAAGTTTTTTCCTGATGGTTGCTAGCTTTTCAGTAGCTACAGTCAAGTCTAAGTTTGCCTGGGCTAAGGCTTGGCGTTTTGGCTCCACGTCACAGTAGACCTGAAAATCCACATGGGTGCAATTCATGAGACAATACAGATGAAAACACAGGTAATTAAGCGATCTTTTTTTTTGGTGGGAGTTCTCCTAGCAACATGGCTATTCCCTCAGTCACTAGCTCTCTGCTTATTCGACCAGACACATCCTTCAGGGGTTCTCTGGGCCTTTCATTAATTACTTATTATGACCTCCTACACATCAGAGCTACAACAATTTCTATATAGATCAAACATCCCTTAAGATATTACTGACCTTATCAGACCCAAAAGCTACAACTCTTGCTGCATAGGTCCTGCTTTACCTTGGTCTTAACCATCCAGCAGAAAAGTATAAAAACAAAATATAAGAAGTAAAGCCATGCTGTTATGTTGAGGTGTAGGGACTCAGGTCAACAATTTCTTTTTTTTTTTTTTTGGCAGAACCGGGATTGAACTCAGATCCTTGCATTTGCCAGTCAAGTGCTTATCCTACTGAGCCATCTCCCCGGCCCCAGGTCAACAATTTCTGACATTGCTGGTCAAGCAGAAGACTCAATACTATTATGGTCTGCTGAACTCTTTTAGAATATTTTGCTGAGTTTACACACCTATAATATTCAAATAATGGAACTTAACAACAAAAAGAGTATACAGATGAATGTCCATTTTGTATCTGTGTGTTCAAAGTGGTTAGGATAGATGCATAGTTACATTCTCTTAATGAATAGAGTGATTTATTCTAATGGTGTTTGTAGGTAGGATATCATGTCCGCATCTTGTACAGCAATTAACCACTGGGAGGAATATATGCAATGTGTTAATTATTGAAACTGTCCTACCAATTTGATTTGAAACTGTCTCATTGCTATTTATCAATAAAATTATGGGAAAAATTATATTAGTTTATCAAAGGTAAGATCAAGTCTAGCCAGTGAGGTAGAAAGTAAGTGTGGAGATGCTCTCTGGACACAGGAAGGAAAAGGTGAGACATCTTCATACACTATTATCTACACATTTGTCTTCTAAGTTACTGACTACCCGAAGTGTGTGTTATTTCAATGGATGGTTTAAGAATATGGATATGCCACTTTTTCTCCTGGTAGAGAGAGAAGGGATTTAAACTTTCCTTCCTATTTTAAGAGAACACAGCAAAGTGACAATTCCATATTCATCTTTTTCATTATGGTACAAATTGAACATGGGGTCAGGCATTTTATTATGGAAAGAGGCAGTGTCATCTGTTGAAACTCTTGCTCTTGAAAGACTTCTACTAGAGGTAGAGGTCAAGAGAGTCCTACTGTGTGGCTCTGCAGTATGAAGGGTATAACATGATTTTATAAGAACTATTTGGGGAATAATGCCAACTACTATTGGGCCTTTTCTCTGTAATTTGATGTTCAAATATGACATACAAAAATGGGACAGCTCCTCAGACTCAAGGGTTATACATTATTCCAACTTATGTATCCTATAGTTGTAAAGTGCTTGGGACCTAGTTGGCAGACAATAAATGACTGAAATGCATTGATCATCTTTTTCTGTATTGTCTCAAAATACAAATTTTGGATTACACCATCTACAGGAAGAAATATATTTTCCATTAAAATACTAAAGCAAACAAATGGTTATTTCCTCATCTGCCTATGCCTGCTACAAAGATTGTGTGAATTTTTGCCTTGAGAATAGGAATTTGTTTAACTCAGTATCAATTTAGATTTACAGTTATCAAGCCAACATGAATCAAATACTTTAATATAAATAAATACATTTTTACATGCAATAAGTTTTATCTAATTAAATCAAATTAGTTTATCCTCTTTGATCTGAAGTAGGTAATCATTTTAACATAAAAACTTTTCCAACAGCTACTTCTTCCTGTTTAGAATTTTGGCAACTCTGACATGTCCAGGTCTTATTCGTAGAACTACTACACATCCTTCTTCAGAAAACTAAGCATTAAATAATTTCACTCTTTTTGCTGATCCACAGAATCGATGTTTATGCTTTCGTGGCAAACACCTATATACCATCAGATTAGGACTGATACCTCATAGAACTTAATGATATTGATGACCCATGCACAGAGGCCAGCTGCTGCAAAAGATTTGGTCCGAATTAGATTTGGATTGAACTCTGGGTCTTTCAAATACTGCTCATTCACCACTTTTAGACAGTTCTCTGGAATGTGCTCTTTGTCGTAGTTAATTAAAGCTTGCAAAAAATCATCAACCTGTAAAGCAAAAAGACTTATTGCAATGAACCCATTTTGGCTGCAAAGAAAATTCCAAGATCAAAAAGTTAAAATCAGCTTTTAGAACTCATAATACAAAGGCAAAATTGGCAAGCGGCACTTATCCTACTGTTTGACTTTTTCAGTCTTTACAGTATGAAGTTAGAATTAGCAATGGACACTTTTAAAACCTCTTCTATCCCAGGGTAAAATATTCAGTCCCAGCACAGGAGGTATTCACATTTTGAAGAAAAGAAAGGAAGCAAAGAAAATGCAAAACACACACCGAAAAGCTCCTTTGCTTCACCTTCTTGTACATTAGTAACATTTTTTAAGCCTGATAAATCCATGTAATTTTCTCCCTCCTACACTTAACTGCTTTCATAATTTTGCAAATAATTAGCAACCTTCCACCTGCTGTTGGCTTTGACTTGGGTATGCCATAACCTCGATCTCACCTCCAACTTGGCTACCAAAGCTCTCAATCTAGAGAACACAAGCAGATCACATTCAGCAGCTAGGAAGATGGGATTTTGGCTTTGAACACTGCTTGCCATAAAGCACAACCCATTACTGAACATAATACAGAAAGTGGTAAGATTTTCAGCTCGCCAGGCCTGCTGATACCTTTCCCATGAAGATCTTAGCTGCTTTCCAACTTCGGTCTTTTGGCACTCTGCCCCGGGGAGCCAGGAGGACCATCACGGCTGCGGTAACATTGGTGACTGCATTGGGGGGGTTGGGAAAAGCTTTCAGTTCAGTGAGGTTGACCTGAAAATCACACACAAAGACAGAGGGGTTTAGAAGCACGAAACTGCCATGCTGGTCTCCGGTGGCCTCTCATCACTCAACCTTACACCGGGCTCAGCATAGTAGCTTTTTGCCACTTGGGGATTCTATTTTCATGTCCCAGGGGGCTTTCTAGACACTTTTAGGATATTCTAGAAACATTATTGTCCTTTTTTCTTCCCCAACAAAAATGATCCATTTAGTACCCAAGACCTGCAGCACCCTGTTTATTGAGGCCAGGAAGTTTTGTGACCTTATGGTTTGTAAGGTATGTATGAGCACTCTTCTCCTATGCAGTACACCTGCACTTCAACCAGGCCTTCCCATAAATATAATTCCCCAGGTCAGCGCCTCTTAGCTTTGTTCCTCTGCTTTTACATGCACAATTAAGAAGCATCATTTTCTAGCATCTTCTATTACACTGCAGCGATGTTCACTTGGTTTCATGTAGGCTGAATCTTCTTTCCTACACATAATACAGAAAGCTGGATTTGGGCTGAATTCAGTTACTGTTAGTTAAACTACTTTTATAAGACCAAAGAGTTCCATGTCATTGGAAGTATTCATAAGACTGGGTATGGCAGGATTGACTTCTGGAGGGGAGAAAAAGTACTATAAAGATATCCTTAAAGATTTGTTTCAATTCTAATAAACATTAAATATTATGAGTTTTTCCTTAAAAAAAAAATCCTTTTTGGCTGTGGTCCCTACAGTTTCTGCTCAATTATTCAAATCTAATGATCTATCGTTCGTCCGTTCGTCCATCCGTCCTTCCTTCCTTCCTTCCTTCCTTCCTTCCTTCCTTCCTGCCTTCCTGCCTTCCTGCCTTCCTGCCTTCCTGCCTTCCTGCCTTCCTTTCTTCCTTTCCTTCTTTCCAAAATGGGGGATTGAACTCAGGTCTTTGAGCTTGCCAGGCAAGCGCTTATTCTACCGAGCCATCTCCCCAGCCCCTATATTATTAAATTTTGAAGAAACCTACAAGGTCAGAAATCATCCTTACCCTGTTGAGTGTATTAAGTGCAGCAATTGCAGCCACCAGGGCAGGCTCAGCCTTGTCTAAGTCAGCCTCACATTCTCTCTGCTTCTGGGACACTTCAGTTTGAATGGCTGACACCTAGGTAGAGGGAAAAGCACACACACGTACACAAATTTTTATTTCAGAGATCTCTATTGAAAAGCACGCATGGACTCAGCTGCACTGTTAATTCATTTGTCTATACACCGAGCAGGTGAAGGATTTGTCCTAAAGACTAATTGCCCATCAAGTACAGTCTGTATATAAAGCTCTCTAAAAGCACAAAATACACAATGACAAATCTCAGAGCAAATGGATTCGAATATCAAAGCACCCCAAGCAGAGCTCTGACTCATTTAATTGCACGGTGCCACTAATAACAAAAACAAGATTAAACAACCATTTCTCTGTTCTTCAATTTCTTTTTTCAGAAAATCCCTGACAAGTGGAAATCCAGGCTGGATCAGTAACCTAGACCACAAAATATTCTAGAATTTTTATCTAGTTTTGCTAACACTGGGTATTCCTTAAGAACAGATGTGAAGCCCTTTGTTCAAAGGGTCTGAAGATATTCTGTCTGATGGTCTTGGATTGCATGCTTAACTATAGATTGAACTTTTTCTTTTTAGATTGAATTTTTGTTGAATTACTGGCTTCTCAGAGGACTTGGAAACCACAGAGGCAGGACTCCAGATTCATCTTGCATAACAGACAGTGACACTGATACCCACTTCTCTGACGTGGGTCCCGTGGCTTCTCTTTAAAGGACAAACAGGGTGCTGCCTCAGCCTCCTGACAACCCGTATAATGAGGACACAGAAAAGCTATGGTGGGGAATTCAAACCAAACCAAACCAAACCAATATGAAAACCTGGGGATTTTTAATCCCCCTCCTCTTAGGACTCTTATAGAATTCAAATGGCCAAAAAAGAGTGGCTTTTTAGTTCTCAGCAGAAATCTGAGTTTCCAAGCTGTGGCACTGGGCATCAGGATCTAGGCACCCTGGGGAGATGCTTCCTGGGGTGACAGTGATTGTAGAATATAAAGCATGAACAAAAGTGCATTTCTTCAGATGTGTTTGGAATGAGCAGGTTTAACCATACCATAAAATTAAACACTGCTTACAATAAATTATGTTGTCTACTACGGCTTTATTAGTAGTAATTACCCTTCTCCTGATTAACCATTATTTTGCTGTATACCGCACCTTTTATGAACATAATTGGTTCGCGGTAGATGTGACCTCCCGCTAACACACATACAGCTACTGTTAATATAAATAAGAAAACTCTGCATGCTTACTGAGAACCACTCCAAAACCACAATCCTCAAAACTTTCCAAGAATAGGCCACGAAAATTCTTAGGAAAGCTGTATTTTCTGTATGCTAGAGCACACTACAGATGGCAGTGGATGAGTTACTACTTCAGATTTACCAAGCTTCCGTGATGACCCAGTGATTCTATAAATACTGTTTGCTGCTACTTACAATGGAGGCATTAAAGTCATTTTAAATAATGTAGGACCATAGAGTTTTAGTGCTAGAATAAGCCTAGAAGGGCACTTCTACTAATGCTCAGTAAATTATGCAGCGTTGCTTTTAATTACTACTCAAGTACTGAGCCTGGAAAACCCAAACTCACAGGAGCAGAAAGGGTCCATATTACCCTCTTTTGCAACTGTATAGCGTCTAGCATATTTGCTGAGTACAGGACATATGAGGCTACCAGGTGTTAATTTCTAACTCTATGTAGTTTAATTGTAAACACACCTTTTTCCATGACACTCAACTTAAAATATGGTCTTCCACACCTAATCTATTTGATTTTATCAGAATCCTTATAATTAACTCAAAATAGCTTGCTTCTCAAAGTATTGCTTAACTTCTGTAGGATTCCCCTCTTTTTTTTTTTTTTTTTTGTGGGGCCAGGGATCAAACTTGGGACCTTGTGCTTGCCAGGCAGGCGCTTATGCCACTGAGCTATATTCCCAGTTCGGTTTTTCCCTTTGTAATGTAAGCTACATGAAGGCAATTTGCTTGTCAAATATTCTCATGAGCCTAGACCAGGGCCTGCCTACCATCCAACAAAAAGCCGAGCTCATACTTGTTCACAATCAAGTTAAGTTCTACAGGTAAAATGAATGTATGTTTTATTTTTACTTCTTGGCATAAATTAGATGTACAGAAAAATATGTGTCATTTTCATGTTTAAAGAATCTCATGGAACTACCTATTGGATGAATTCTAATTTGCTATATCCATCGTCCCTTAATAAGGTAGTTTTACCTTAGGAATTGAAAATAATAAAATCCAAAAATACCTGTAGTATGCTTGTCATATTTTAAGATCTCCAAAATGTAACCATGGTGACAGGTTACAATATAATAATTATTGGAACACCAGATATGTATATAATGCCTGAAAAACATCTCCTGGGTAGAATTAGCTTATTATAATCATACCATGTATGATACCTAAGCACTTAATATAATAATATAGTTTAAAAGACATTCTCCACTTATTTGGAATACAACAGAAAGATTTATCACCAAGATTAGTAATTACCTGCCTATTGGCCAGGCCAAATGTGCTTTGTTGTCAAACACAAATATTTCACATCTTGTTTTTAGAGATGACTTGTGTGCAGCTTTGATTTTCAATATAGTTTTAAGTATCAGTGCAAGATAAGTGAAAACATACCCAATACACTTTAGGTAAAAAACAACTGTACGTGAATGACTGATAACAAAACCAGAAAAGCTCAAATACTTTTTTATATCGTAAAACACAACAATAGCTTCTGTTTGATTGAACATGAATGTTAGATATCTAGAATTTTTAATAATCTTTAGTCTAAAATAAAACATTTACCTCTTATATATACACATCTACTCAATTTTTTAAAAAAATATTAATTGTCTTTGTATCTTTTGGGAGACAAGGTACACAAAAATATCTTTCATTCGGAACTGGACTTGCAGTAAAAAAAAGACAAAAGTAGTTGTATTTATATTCAGAATTGCTAGAAACCTAATTACAAAAAAAGCAGAATCTATGTAATCTTAAAAGGAATTGTTTCCAACAATAAAACATAATGCAAGACTGCCAGGGCTCCAACTGAACCAAAAAGAACAAATTTAGCTTAGGACTTAATAATAAACTCCAGTGGTATTATTAAAATGCAAAATTTGAAAACCATCTTGCAAAGTGACGGAATGGGCTTTGTTAACAATTGAGTTGTTCCATTTGCCTAAAAACTGAAAACCTTTAGAAACCTCCGAGGTGACTTCCTGACCTTTACTGTATTACAAATAGGCCTGATGTTCAAGATCCACATCCATTATATGCTTGAATGAGCTCAGTATTTATTGTTCTTTCATATCATTAAAAGAGCTAAAAGGTTGGGAAAATGCGTAATGTGAAGAAAGGTCAAGTGGTAATCACGGTGTGAAATGCTGTTACATGTGTAGCTATAATAATTCTTTAGACTTTATGCTCCCTGGAGAGGAAGTTGTTCAAAATTGTTCACCTACAAAGGTTTATTTTGTGCTAAATATAGCTCACCACTCTAAATGGCGGAATGAGCCTGACCTTTTGCTCCTCTGCATCCGCGATGGCCTTTTCCCGCCTCACTCTCTCGGTCTGAAGCCCGATCTTTGTGATCAGAGCTTCGGCATCGTGATTCCTCAGCTGCAGCTCCGCTTCTTGAGCGGCGAGCCTGGCTTTCAGATCTCCCACCTAACGGAAAAGTCATCACTCTTGAGTAACATGCATGGCTGACAACAGAAAGCAGACGCAGCTTATCTTTTAGGTTGGATTCAGCGAGCCCTAACACCAGTTTGTAGCATCTATCTGCTGATGATCTCCTCGATTTTACTGTATTCTCATTTACAAAAAGGCAGCCCAATTTTTTCCCTACACTAGAACAAAAAAAATAACGTTTTTCAATGGATTTTCAGGAAAGGCAATTTGTTTATCTGAACTAAGCATAAATTTGGTTTGGCTTACTCAATTTGTGCCCCCAAGGAAACCCCAAGGGAGTTCTCTGGTCAAGCTAATGCCACCCAATCCCTCATGCTTTTCTGGTTCTAGGCAGGTTGGGCTCACAAACAGAGGACATGGGAAGGCAGGCTCGGTGACAAGCTGGAGAGCCATAACTTGCACTCACCAACAGGAAACTGCCGAAGCCTTCAGATAAGTGGAAGACATGAATTCTCCCATTCTGTCTGCAGGTTAACTGGTTGCATGGAGAAATGCCCACCAATGGGTCCCGCCTTTGCCGTATTTGATGAAATGGTTCGCTGTCATTGTTCTTACCTTCCAGGGCATTTAATTTAGGACCGTGGATGCAATCCCGCACACACTACCCAGAAGCAAAGGCAAACTACATGTGCCTTGTAGACCCTCAGCAGGGTGTGGGCAGAAGACCAGACCACACCAGTGGCGTGGCCTGGCCACTACTGAGCCGCCTCACCCAGCGTTGGAGCCGGAGCCTTTCTGTAGCATCAAGAAGGGCATCAGTGCAAAGCAAAGATTCTGCTTTCTTTTTGTCCTTAGCTGTGACCTCCTGAGCATCAGAAGGTATCACCATGTTTGGTTTCTGAGTTTGAACATCATGTAAATCAAAGCAGAAATGAAGGGCTAAAGAAAAACTATGTCTGTATTTTCAGAAACATGTAAAAGCATGATAATTAACTCTCTACTCATTTTCCAGAAATATATATATTATAAGTTTAAATACCAGACAAAAAGAACAATCATAACTTTTTTTCCTGATGATTCTGAGGATTGAACCCAGGCCCTCTGTACTGACCTATGTCCTTCGCCCTTTACTAATTATATGTTTTATTTTGATATAGGGCCTCACTGAGGCACTAAATTGCCTGGGCTACCCTTGAACTTGTACACCTCTTGCTTCTGCCTCCCCAAGTGCTGGGATTTTATGTATGTACCACCACACACAGGCATAACCATTTATTTTGACTCAGTTGTGAAAAGTACTTCAATAGTTTCATTTGGTCAACTATCCCACTGATGTATCTAATAAGGCTTATAAACTCCACCCTAATATAATAATTTACTCTCTAAAAAGTTGATTACTACTACTATGGTTGGTATTTGTACTCTCTTAGTTTAATCCTTAATTATTTTGGCCTTTCTATGTACTTAGGATAACACAGGGACAGAGTGACATTTGTTTCTGTGTTCTTTTTGGCCCCCGAAACTAGTCTAATTCCTGGCCACAGCCCAGACCCATCTATGAACCTAGAGCAGTGGTGGCGAGTCTTTCAAATCTTTCAGAGAGAACGAACAGTCCGCTGCGGCGTGAGTGCCACGGGTTCGCCACCACTGCTCTAGGGAGAATAATGTTATTCCAAGCCCTAACTTCAGTTTCTAAGGGAGCAGTTAGCTCTGAAATATACCAAGTGACTTCGGCCCTGGACAGGAGGTTTTACCAGTGGAAAACATCACTATGGCTCTGCAATGACGAAAGATGCCGTTTAGAGGGAGTGGTATGGCTGCAACGGGCTCTGTAGCTGTACTTTAATGAGCACACATTGTTAAGAGTTAGATACATCTCTAACGGCGCAGACGTCCATCTCTGTGGGACTGCTTGCAGCAGCGGACCATGGAGGACACGGGCTCCAAGACATAGGTGCTTTGCTCCCCAAATAGCTTGACCCTATATTCTGAGGCTCTCCAGCTCCTACGCAGGAAACCACACTTACTTTTCATAATAAATTAATTTTTCTAGAATAGTCAGGTGGCTATTAAATATCTAACCCACTCCTCTGACAGAGAAAGCATTCCATATCCAGATACCTGATGAAGAGAAGCTGCCTGCATTTCATCCACCATGGCTTCCTGTGTCTGCAAGGTCCACTGAGTCACCTCCTGCTTCTTCCTCTCCCTGAGACTCTGACTCAGTGATGCACCACTCGGGTGAGCAGGCTCTCTCTTCTCCTCCCTGTGGTGGAGCAGTTGCTACCCCTGGGATGACCCAGGCTGCTACTTCCCTTGCCTATTAGCTCTGCCATTTGGGGAGACAACTCCTGAAGGGTGGCAGAGGCATGGTTTTGTTTTTGCTAAGGCTTCCTTGCCAGTGCCAACGGCTCAGCTTTGCTGACAGCACTCATTTCCTTAGGTTGAGACATGACACAAAGGGACATGAATTAACTCAACACAGAGCTTTCTGGCCTTCTTAGCTCAGCATGTCAGCTCCATAGGCCCCCTGGGAAAATCTTCACTAGGGAAAAGGCTACTGGTTGAAGTGAGGGAACAGGTGAGATGGGGAAGAGGCAAAAAAGGAAAAGAGTAGAACTATGAGAAGCAAAGCAAGCTAAGCTGTGTGTAACAAGGAAAAGTAAAGAAAGGTACTCATGCAAGTGGAGGGAGCAGACGCACAAATAAAACTGTGCTCACGGAGCGGTCTCGGCAGCTTTTCTTTATATCGCTTGGTCCAACTGGCGTGAAAGCCGCCTCATTCTGGTTTCTCTTTCCTAATCATGACCTACCTGTTCACGGCTCAATACACACCACAATCCTTCAACAAGGAGCTGTTCCTGAAGTGTGGAACTCAGGAAGAGAGAGCTGGGCCAGTGCTTTGGCTTACAGAGGGCCAGAAGAACCAGAAAACATGGCCAGAACATTAAAGAGAAAAGGAAACCATACTTCGTTCTAGCTTCGGCATTGAAGACCGCTCAACCTTCTTAGAGAAGAACTGGCCTTAGAAAAATTGTCCCTTAAAAAGCATATGGGAGTCGGACTTGATAACAAAACCTGGAAAAACAGTATTTGTGGCCTTGACATGACCATCAGTGAGAACTTACTGCAGCTCAGGGTCCAGCTGCCACGTTCCTCTCTAAAGTCTGCACGGCCTCTCAAGCCACACAGAGACCACATGCTACCATGGGCGACACAGGAGCATCAGAGTAACACAGGTCTGGTTCCAACCCCAGCCTCCCTGGCCCTCAGGCCTTGAACTCACTAAGCCCCATGTAGGAAACTGCAGGAGTAAGACCTACTCTATAAACTTGTTTGGGTTTCACGAGATGAGCATCCTGCAGGAATCCTCTGAGTTAACGCCTGCCAGTTACAGATGGAGTCCTCTCTTGTCTTCCCTTGGAGCCAGCATTACTGGCTGACTTTATCTAGGAGAGCTGCAGGCTGAAAAGAGCTCATCAGACATAAAGTTGAAGAAAAGTGCTGTACTTGGGAACCTCATCAAGGCTGTTAGCCAGGTAATGATACCCTTGCTAGGGGTGTGGTATGAGAGAACAACAGGGACATGACCTTATCCCAGGATGGCCCAATTCCTGACCCTAAACCCTTGGCACCAAAGAAGCTGAAACAGGAGAGGGGAGTAAGTTGTGTCTGCCCCTTTAACACCCCTACACTGCCTCGCGTGTGTTTAGGCAAGAAGAGATGGTTTCTCCCTGCATCATCTGGGAAAAGTAACTGATCAGACCTTTCCAGGTTTAGAAAAGCAGTAGGGTGTGTTGCTTGGGTCCTCAAACTTCAACTGTTACAGTAGGCATCTTATATAATGCATATGCAGCGCTTCAAATTTTCCCAATTTTCTACAAAATGGCACGGATCACACTCAGTAGAGCACACTGAGTCATACCTGAGAGGCAGTGGTTTTGAGCTTCTGGATCCCATTCATTAAGTGCTCTTTTTTCTGAGCCACCTCTTTTTGTTTCTTCTTCAACAGGTTCTTAAACAGTGATATCTGCTCTAGGAAACTCTTTGGAGTGGTGTAGTTATATCTTCTCTCGTTCTGGTAATACCTGGTGCTCATTGCATTTACACTGGTGTGGACGTGAGCCATGAAGAGGCTAACTGAATCTTTGTGCTCTGCCTGAAGATACACAGATTGCAATTTTAGTAAAATCTTCTTAAGGTAAAAAAATCTAAAGTAGAAGAAAAAAATAATAAGATTGCACACCATTTCCCCCTTAAAAGCCAGAACAAATTATAGTACAAGTTAGGAAAATTCACTTAATCTTTACGCAATATGCAGAGGATCACAGAGACTACAATAGAGCATTCAGCTCTCCTAACCATCTTCTTGCCAAGTAGGACAAAGGATTTTTATGCGTTCCACATAGCAAACTCAAAAGCCAACATATAATACAAGCACAGCTCTTTGCAACTTGCTTTTTCTTTATCAAGTGTGTGAACGAGAAAGTGGACACAGTAGTCTAAAGAGCAGCTTTTTGGCGTTGCCTTCCAGTGAAATATTAGACAAGGAGAATAATTCTCCAAAGTGATGGAAAAATTGCTGAAGCTGAAAAGCAAGAGTCTGAAGAAAACTCGAACAAAAATAAATTGAGTGGGTAAGTTACAAAAGTCACTACTAGAAGAAAAGAATATAATGATAATTTCAATTTTCACTTGGAAATACAGAGATATACATGGAACTGAATAACTCTGTTGGAGACTTCCTGAAGGGCACTGCTCTCCGTTCCCTATATTGTGTCCTCTGTGACTTCCGTAGTAGTTAACTTTCTAATTTGTGGAGTCACATCTCCCTCATTTTAATGATTATTTATTGCATTCTGTACAAGATTAACCAGGTTCAATTAATCAAGGGGAGCCTAAAAATCAATTAATATGAATTAAATGAGCTACACCAACTCTTAGGAAAGTCACACATAATTTACCAAAGTGTTGTCAATAATGCTCAGATATCTTTGGGAAAATTGCACCCAAGTGTCTGGTGAGGCAGTTAAGTGCTTCAGACTTGTACCATCAATACCGCATCCAGGGGCATGAGGCCAGACAGGCCAATTCTTATGAGTGAAGATCCACTAGCTGCTCCTGGGCAACACCTTTAAACACATCGCTTTCCAACCTTGGGACAAACTGCTGAGTGGATATAAAACTGGCAAATATTGACTTACTCTGCATATTAAATATCTACCTCTCTAGTAAGTGAAATGTGTTTTTGAAGGGAAAGTGACATAGAAAAGTCACAGGTACACATCTTAAATCATCTTTGTTCCTAATGATTCAAGATTCGTATGTGTTGTCAAATAAAGGACTCAGAAAAATAAAATTTACAAGAAAGTTTAGATAAACTGCACTTGAGTCATACTCCCTTGGGAACATTTTTAAGCAAGCCTGGCTTCACTAGAAACAGGGGCAGACATGCAACGCTGTCCTGTCTTGTTCTGAGGGTAACCAAAAGTGCACACGTATCGTTCTGCAATACAGATAATTACTTCCTCAGCCAAGTATAACCTCCTTACAGAAAAAAAAAAATGCCCTGGCTTCTGCCCAGCCATGATCCTTATGAGGAGGCTTCTCGTGGTCTCGCAAGCTCTCTTTAACAACAGTTTCATTTGTAAATCTCCGATGGAAAGAGTGGCTTCCGGTGGAGCTGGAAGTGGCCCGAGACAACTTGTCTCAATGGGGCAAAATAACTATTGTTATCGGGCTTAACAAAATGGCACAGCATGGGAGACTCCCGAGCTTGGGAGCAGCTGGTTGTAATTCACACTGTTTTTCAGAAAACTCTAATCGTTCCAGAACAGACCTCTTTGATGACTGGTCTTCCCTGCATTCTCAATTTGTCACTTTCTCTTATGATAAGGTCAGTAGTGACAGCACTTCCTGACATTAACAGCTGTGGCTTTTAAAAGGGTCATTGTAGAACTACTAATTGCAGTAATTTCATTAGCATAAATTATTTATTCTGCCATTCATTTATCTCCAGTTTTCTTTTGAGGGGGGAAGTGGAGAGGGGTGGCTGCCAGTGCAGCAGCAGCGATGGCAACCAGGGCTGTGTTTTGTGCTCCAAGAGAAGCCAGGGAAGAACGTCGTTCCTGCTGGACTTGCTCCTCCATGAGAACCAGTTCATGCTACTCGCAGTCATTTTGCAGCCAGTTGTGGTGACGGCAAAACTAGAAATCAGAGTGCCAACAGCAGACAGCTTATCAACCCAATGTTCCCTACTAGGATGCTTTGGAAGAGAACACTGTTGCCACTGCATAATGAAATGCAAAGATGAAACTGCTTTTTTTTTTTCCCACATTAAGAAAGAAGTGTTTAATTTTTACTCGCTTGGTTGGCTCACTGTAAATACAGAAACATAAACAACTCTCTGCTGCGTGGTATGACAGTTCCTGGGCAGTCACAGTTACTGCCACACCAAATGCTGGGTGTAGACTACTGTCGACACCAGCACTAAACCAAGTATCTTGTGCATTTGAAGAGTTTGTGTTGAAACGTAGAGGAGAAGGAAAGGCCAAAAGAAAAGGGGAAGATGAACTTCTTCATGGTTAAGCTTGGGACAATTTTGTCACAAAGGATGTCATATGCCTACAATAAGAAGTGCCAAACTGCTGAGTTACAAAAATTATTTCATGGTTGGTAAAAAAGAATATATTCACCAGACACTGTGATGGTAGGATGGTTTATTCTATCAAGTTAATACTGCAGACATTGAGCAGCATTTCACTGTGGTACCTCCTCATAGCCATTATCCACCCAGAAAAGAGAGTCTGAACTTGGCCAAAGATGCAGTTTGATCCTAGGTCTCAATACACTAAGAAAAGTCAGATGAATCACTACATCACCTATGCTTCCTCCTACCCACACAATTTCTTTTTGTCTCTTTACTTCCTTTCCTTGGTTCAAAATAGTCAACCAATAATGTAAGAGTCAAGAGGCGCGAGGAAGACAGGGTGCTGGTGTCCATAGCGGGGGGTCCTGCTGCTCCAAGACCTGCCTCCTCACCTGCTAGCAGGCAGCTAGCATTCCTCTGCCTGAGGAGGCCACCTTGGCACACAGGGCAGGCACTGCTTGTGCTCAGGGGGCAGCACCAGCGCCTCAGGGAGACTGCCATGCACACAGCAGCAGCAGCAGGCGTTTACCACAGCAGAAATTCTTCTAAATTGCATTCTGGTTTTTGTTTCCGGTTGCTACTTTGATTGGTGAAAGCAATTTGTGATGAGTGTGCTGGTGCCCTCGAGCTCAGTGTAAGGCAAGGATCTTCCAGAAGAGCCTTTCCAGTCACAAGGGAGGGGGTCGCCTGGGGGCCCTCTGTGGGACATTCACAGAAAGCAGTGACAGGGGGACCCCATGAGGGGCAAGGAGGCCAATGGAAACCCAGCTATGCCTTTAGAGAAAGAGTGCAGGGCAGGGCGTGGTTTAGCTGGTTCTGGTGAGGCCTGAACCTCCAGAAAACTCACAGAACTGCAGCTGTGAGTAGCGATGGCTCCACGGGGTCAATGTAACATTCAGCTCAATGGCAACCAGGTTCCTGGGCCACCGTGGAAACCAGACCCTGCTTTCATGGTAGAGGTGATTTCTAACACTTACAAAGCAAAAGCCCTGGGAGATAACATTTTATTCCTTTTGTAACTTCATTCTAAATATGATTAACATGGACAAAGCAAGGGTATGTGACGGACAGACATTGGGGTACCTGGATAAAAAGAAAGAGGGCAAAAGGAGAGTGTGTTTGGGGTTACCTGGGCTGTTATTCACAAACTCCCCCTTTGGTCTTTGAGACAACGCCTTGCTGTGCCGTTCAGGCTGGTCTTGTGTTCACTTTATAGCCTAGGCTAGACTTGAGGTCACAATGATCCTCCTGCCTCAGCCTCCCGAGTGCTGGGAGGACAGGAGTGTGCCACCAGGTCTTCATCCTTTTGAAGATAGGCTTAAGCCAGGGTTAGACTGAAGAAGGTTCAAGATGATTTTTTTTTTTTTTTTTTTTTTTTGTGGTACCAGGGATTTAACTCAGGCCCTTGTGCTTGCCATCAAGCGCTTGTTCTACTGAGCCATCTCCCCAGCCCCTCAAGATGAATTTGGTTGGATTTGATTTTGTTTCACTATTTCAGAATGGATTCAGCCTTTCTTTGATGATGTTTTCCCAAAATTCATAGGCTTTCTATACAATAAACCTATTTTTAAACTTTTTCATTTATATCAAATATTGCAAATTCATATTTTTAAAGAAAAAAATAATGTTAAAAGTAATTAATATACATCATCATCACAAAGAAAATGGCAATACGCCTCCCGTTTGGTACAGTATTTTTAAAAAGAACCTACAGGCCACTAGAAAAATAAAGCTCTCCAGCAAGAAAGTAACTTTCCTTTTTGAGTGGACATTTGCCACAACTGGTTTTAGAAAACAGCTAGTGAAGCCATTCATTGCTAAATTCTGTAACAAGTCCTGAAGAGGTGCAGCCCAAGAATGATGGGCATCTACATCCAGCCCCAATCTTTTTTTTTTCCAGCCCTGATCTCTGTACCTTCCCACATTCATGCTTCATCCTCAGTTAGACAAGCTCTTATTTTAAATTTCTATTGAATAACAGGGTCTACAGGGTCTCATGACACAGACTGGACTTGTAGTGATCCTATTTTCAGCTCCCAAGTGCTGGGATTATAGGCGTGTGCCACCACAACCAGTCTCATTCGCTGTCTCAGTATGCCCTGGGGGCATGGCCAGCTTGGCATGAGTGGGACAAACCCAGTCCCTGCACCTGCCTAAGCAGGTGCTTTAGTCCGCTGAGCTACCTGACCAGCCCTTGGCCCTATTTTTGAGTGTGTCTCTTGCTCAACTTCCCTTAAAAAGCCAAATGGTTGCTTTTCTTTTAATGCCCCATGGTCTGTTGCTTCTTTGATTTGGCGCGGACTTCCCTGGAACCCACGCTTTCATCTGGCGGGCCTCAGCTTGATCGCCTCTCCGAAGTGCTCCCCTCGGCATTTCAGCTCTGTCCTCAGGGACCGGAGGAGGTCTTTCCTCCTCTCCCTCCTCTCACCAACCCCTGCTTTCCATTTCCAAATCTCCCTTTGAGAAGTAGTGTGTGTTGACACAGCGTTCGGATAAATGCCCAGAGATACTAAGTGTCAAATTGTTTGTGTCATTTTTTTGTCAACTGTCATTTAGTTCAGTTATCAGGTAACAGAAAAACAGCACAAACATTTATTTAGATGCAGTCAGCCTACATCCCTGGGTGCTTAGTGTGTACTGCTTGAAAATTACATGTCAACATACACAAAGCCACCAGCGTTAATGAATCTTTTCTGTGTGGTGAAAGGGGGTCACCTTGTGTAAGTACCACACACTTGTCAAATGAGGTCAATAATTAAGAAGTGCCTAAATTATGCCGATAACTTTCAGTCTTAAGGATGGAAATTAAAACTAAGAAAGTGATCAAATTAGTGCTCATTCAAAAAATTTAAAAGCTGCTTTTGACCTCTACAGAAAAGACACCATGTGTTTTTCATAGTACGTGGACACACTGCAGTCTGAATTATAATTATTGCTCCTGAGTAACAAATTAGGAAGGTGGGAAAGTGAAATAAGCACCTTGCACTGAAATGAAATCATCTGGCTAATTTGTTTCGAGGCATAATTCAGCTTGATAGAAAGCGGAAAGTGCTTTTAAAATTCTTATTTGCCACTTGGAATCCTATAGGAGGCGTCATGACACCATGGGACGGACGGAGCTTAGCACCTGCCGAGGGCCTTCCGGACCTCAAGAGATGCAAACCCTGCCACCTCCAGCAGGTGTCAATGGTCACTGCCACCACAAAGTTGCTGCAGCCTGAAAGGACAGGAGAAAGCCTGCGCAGAGCAGCAGAGACAGGAGCTTAATGCCTGCACCCAATAGGAGCTTCAGCCATCCTACTAGCTGTGGTTTCCTGTTTTTTGACACAATAACATTCATGAACAAGGGGCGGTGGTCCTTTCAAGTTCTTTATTAAATCTGTCTGGTAAGAAACAAGATAAAACAGAACTCTGCTATCAAAAGACAAACATGGATGCCTCCTAAGGTAGAACACCATTTCCTTTACGGCAGGGCAGTGAACCTATCGATGGTCTAAGAAGCTTGTATTAATAATCCTGACCAATATGTGTCATATTTAATGGGATTTCAAGATTTCAAAGTATTTAGAACAGATCTCTGTTTTCAATCATTAATGAAAATATTTCACATTTGAGTGTGGTGAAGGGGAGGAGAGAGGAAATAGTTGGATAACTAGAATCTCTATCCTAACTGCATCTTCCCAGGCGAATGTTGCCAGACAGGTCTTCCCTGACAACTCAGCACTATGTAATGAGATGAACAGGCATTCTAAAAAAAGACCAAAGGACAAGAAGTTTCCTTCTACAAATTCTGTTGGTTTAAGAGACTACCTGCCTGTTTATCTATGTAGCTGCTTTTTTAAAAAATGTAAAAAGCATATAAGCAATAAATCTAGCTACATAGAAAAACTAAATATATGATCACACGATCACAGAGAGATGTTATAATTTTGACAAAATGTTCAACACTTGCTTTGGAAAGGCAGCAGTTAATGCTTTTGGGGCAAGGAAGGTGACAATAGCTGCTCAGGATCAACCTGGGAGCAAACCTCACTCTTATAGGGCCTCCGTTGTTTCCAGCTCTGAGTCACTTTCACCACTGAGCCTGTCCTTGGTAGCCTGCTCCTCATTACCCAGAGAAGCAAAAGGGCAAAGCTCTCTGGGAAATGGCCACTGTCTCTGACTTTCTGATGTATCTAATCAGAAAGATGTTAGACACAAAATTTAAAAAATAATTTTTTTGAGACAAGGTCTTGCTATGTAGTTCAGGCTGGCCTTGAACTTACTCTGTAACCCAGGCTGGCCTTGAAATTGCAAGCAATCGTCCTGTCTCAGCCTCTCAAGTGCTGACATTACAGGCCTGTGCCACCACGCCTGGCTAGAGCTTCCTATCTAGGCAATCTAATGAATGGCTTTATACTTACCTCCCCTTTCTCTCTGGGTTCAAATGCCTAATAGATTCATTTCCCTTCATAAAATCATTTTTAAAAATTAGTTGTTTATTGATACATGTTAGATATCAACAGTGATGGCATCTATCACAGGGAATGTGGACCTGTACACGGTCTGTCTTGCTTCTTCTTCCCTCCAGCCCTCTCCCCTGCTTTCAATCCTTTTAGCTTCTTCTTTATAAAAATTTGTTTTCATTTTTCTTTTCTGTTCTTGTCTCTTCCCACCTTTCCTCCTTCATTCCCCCTTTCTATTTAAACATTTTCTTCAAATGTGCCAGTGTCACATATTTTGGACTTTATTTACACTTTTGTTTTTTCACACCAGAGAAGCAATGTGATATTTACATGTGTGTCTGACTATTTTACTTAAAGAGTATAGTCTGAAGGTGCATCCACACCCATCAGCCAAAGAATGGATAAAGAACACGTGATCTTTTTTCATACAATGCAGTACTACTCAGCCATAAAGGATAAACTTGAGACCTTTCTAGCCACACCCAACCATTTTAAAATGTAACTGGAAACACAAATTTCATCATGAATGACCAAGATAACCCATAACCCTAAAATCATAAAACAAATAAGCAAGAAAATAATTTGACTTAGTGACTGTCACGCTGACACGGCCATCAGTACTGCAGTGAGAACAGTCACAGCGAACTGCCTTGCTTGGTTGGGAAGCAAACATGGCCCTGTACACTTTTGCTAGGGGTTTTCAGTTGTCAACTTGTAAGATTTAGATCAGTAAGATCTATCTGTTTGAAGGAAAGAAAGGCTTTGGCCTTTTTGGGATTAGTGCATGAGTGACAGTGTGCTCACGTGCTGTGTGTGCGCACAGGGCCTTGCACACCCAGCTCCACGCGCTGGGAAAGGGTGGTCCTCCCATTCCGCAGAATACCAAATAAGGACAGCCCCTGACAGGAGGGCTTTTTTTCCTTGTTGATAAGAAAGTGGTCACCTATTGTGGATTTTTAGGCTGTGTGTGTGCGCGCGCGCATGCTTGCGCTTATGTTTGTGAGGAGACACAGGCCAACACAGCATACCTTGATTCCTTCGGTCTCCTCAATGAACCTCCTGCTGACCGAGACCAGAGCCTCCTGGGGCCACACATGAAACCAGTCAATGGCCGTGCAGTTAACTATGGCTGGGAACTTCCGAGCTCTAACTCGCAGCGTGTGGCCAACCGGAGAGAAACACAAAATGATCTGTGGAGACATGGGGGCAGGGCACAAACAGGAGGCCGATGAGTGAACAAAGAGTGACACTGCAGTCGTAGACAATGAAAGAAAGGGGCACAGCCAACCGTGACATTAAAGTACCCCAGAGCACCACCCAGGGGAAGGAATATTAATCTCCCGGCGGGGCAAAGTACCGGCCTGTCCGAAGTGGCTGGTTCACTGGACAGGTGGAAACTCTGCAGTGTGCGCCCCTTAAAATTTGTTCCTTTTTTTGTAAGCATGTTTGGTGATGATTATTAACAGTAAAGATTTTACGTATTTCTATTACACAAGTAACACTGTAGCAACAGAAGAGAAAAATAAATCACTATGATACAATAATACCAGCATTTTCTTCTGTTTCCTTCCGTTCTATAATTCATCAGGCTCCACAAAACTACATGATAGTACACTTAAGGAAAAAACTCAATTTTTTATAATTATAGAAAATGTTTCTGTTTCCACTTAAAACAGAGCTGGTTCAGTTCTCACTTTAGATTTTAAAGTAATAAAAACCTTTGGTTTGAGTATTCTCTTGCTGAGAAGCTGATGTAAATCTTCAATTTTCTGTAGCTATTTGATGAATTAGAAATTAATTCAAACCAGACTAAGTCATTCCTTGGTATCTGGTGTCCGTGGGGCATTGGTCAGGCAGGACAATGGCACCCTACAATGACACTCCACTTCTGCATCCTCCTGAGAGTTGCCTCCAAACCACATAGGATTCTTAGAGCCCATGCCCTGGGCAAAGCTCAAAAACAAGCGTCCAAGGAGTTCCCTCCTCTGCCTCTCTCCTAAGTCCCTAGGGATGGAAGGAGCCCGGGAGAGACATGAGGTGGGGGCAGTCTGCAGGGAGGGTCGGTTTCTTATGCAGTGTGACCAAAACCCAAAGTGGTGGTGAGTAACTCAATTAAAAATTATTACAGTAAAGACCACATCCATTGTATGTTTTGATCATTCCACCTTATCTGTAAAAATAGCTCAGACTTAATATAAAAGAAAGTCCTGTGGCTTTGTCTAACATCTAAAGATCAGGCAGTTGGATCATTTTGCAAAGGATATGATTCTGTTTTACCTATGGCACCTAAAATATCCATGTCAAAAGTATGAAGGATCTCATTTACTAGGTCTCTACTGTTGTTTGATATAGTATGTATATTCGATAATCCAAGCTAGATAAATGTTAAGATCTAAAATTTATTATAATAAAAAGTACATAACATGAAATCTACTATCTTAAACTTTTTTAGGGTATAGTACAGTATAATACATACAGCAAATTTCTAGAACTTTCTCATCTTGCATGACTGGAACTTTATACTGCTTAAAAGTTGCCCTCCACTTCTCCTTTTCCCAAGTTGCTGACAAACACCATGTTACTTTTTGTCTCTATGAATTTAATTGCAGTCTATGCCACCTACCAAGGAATTCATACAGCACTGTTTTTTTTTTTCTGTTCTGAGCTTAGCATGTGTACTCAAGGTTTATGTATGCTGTGGCAAATAGCAAGAGTTCCTTTTTAAAAACTGAGTAACATTCCATTGTGTATGTAGACATTTTAAAAATCCATTCATCTGTCGACAAACCTCTAGGTTGCTTCCATGTATTGTCTATTGTGAATGAGGCCTCAATAAATGTGGGCATGCAGCTATCTCTTCAAGATCTTGACTTCATTTCCTTCGGATGTACACCCACTAGTGGGACCGCTGGATCATATGGTATTTCTACTTTTAATTTTACTGCAATTACTGTAATAGTTTCCATAGCAGAGGCACTATTTTACACTTACAAATTGTGTTCCAATTTCTCTACATAGCCTTGCCAAAACTTGTTATCTTCCATTTAAAAAAATAATGGTGATTGTAATTTCCCTAATGATAGTGATGTTGCTTATCTTTCTGTATATCTGCTGGCCATTTACATGTCTTTTTAAAAATTTATTTGGTACAGGGTTTTACTACATAGCTAGGACTCATAATGATTCTCCTGTTTTCAGCCTCCCCAGCACTGGGATTACAAGTATATGCAACCATCCCCAGTCTTGGTGGCCGGCTCAGCATGCTCTGGGGTGGGGCCAGCATGGCATGTGGTACTGGTGATCAAAGCCTGGTCCCTGTGTTTGCCTAAGTAGGTGCTTAGTCCACTGAGCTATCTTGGCTGGCCCTTTTGTATGTCTTCATTATAGAAATGGCTATTTCAGTTCTCTCTACATTTTAAAAACTGGATTGGTTTTGTATCACTGAAACACAGACATTTCTTACACAGTGGCACTTCGGTTCACAAACTGAATTCTTTCCATGATTCCAGTTGGATACTGAATTGGACAAGCAATGAATCAGATTTCTCCATAAAGTCAATATTGAACTAATGAATGAATATGATTTGGCTCCTGAGCAATTTGCTTCTGACCTATATCATGAAAGGAATTATCTTCATCTACTGAGGTACCACTGTACGTCACAGATATCAACACCTAACTAAATATATGACTTGAAAATATGTTTTCCCATTCCACAGTGTGACTTTTCACTCTGTTGAGTACTGCCTTTTTGGGAAGAAGGCTTTAGCTTTATGTAGTCCCACTTGCCTATTTCTGTTTTTGTTGCTTGAATGCTTGATCTCTTATCTAAGGAATCACGATTAAGACCAAAGTTAGGATGATTTTCATCTGTTTTCTTCCAGTTGTATAGCTTCAGGTCTATATGTTTAATCTTTTCTTTTTTTGGCGGAACCAGAGATTGAACTTAGGCCCTTGCGCTTGCCAGGCTGTTTAACTTATTTTTGAGTTGAGTTTTGGTAAGGCATAAAGTAGGGGCCATTCTTTTTTTTGTTTGTTTGTTTTTAAGCCAAGGTCTCTGTCTGTAATTCTGGCTGGCCTTGAACTCACTATGTAGCTCAGGTTGGCCATAAATCTCTTCCCTCAGATTCTCCAGTGTTGGGATTATTTTTGAATGATGCAGAGGCTGACGATCATTTATTAGTTGTATTTGAAATTCTAACTACAAACTAAATAATTGCTCAAAGATTCCATGTGCAAGTTAAGGAGCCTCCGTTACAATACATAACTTTCATTTATATCTCAATTTTTGAGTTTCTTTTATTAGCCTTTCCACCCCACACGTGAATATGTATTTCTCTGTTTTTCCCAAGAAGTCCCTGTTCCACACCCAACTCTTTGCTCACTGATGACCAATTTTATAAACTTCATTTACACATAAGTATAACGAAGGCAAAGAAAAGAAGCATCTTGTATTGAGATTCCAAGCCTTCCTATGACTTCTGTAATTTGTGTCTGCACTTGTGTCTGGCATACTTTCAGGACTTAAGAATGTTCTAGAGAACAATGTGTTCAAACTGTGCTTAACTGTAGGAAGTTTCCTGTTATTTTATTGGTATGCTTTCAGTATTTATTGAAAAATAATATAGAATGATCATTAGAATAACTTTTTTTTATTTCAAAAAGAAAGAAAAACTGGTTTGTGGGAATGGGAAATAAAAGAGGAAGGGAGAACCAAAAGAAAAAATGTACGTATATATCAAAGATAGTGTAGTAACTCTCCTAATTTCTCTCAGCTCATTGAAAAAACAGGTTGATGCTGATAGTGTTTTGACAAGCAAACACTGACATCTCATACTGAGTAACTACTTTAAAGAAAACAATATGTAATATATTAGCCATTGTTACTCCACTGTCATATTATTTTGGAATTTTGACCTTGTTTCTTTTTCAATAAAATAAAAATTATAAACTAACATTTTTTTTCTGCAATTGAAGATAGTTTCTATTATTCATTACTGCTTAAGAATCCATACAACATACTAAAATTTCACATGGGGTGGCCTTCAGCCAGGGAGACCAGTGGCTCTCAGAGACAGTCTGAGAGATGGGTAGAAACCCAATGTCTTGGACCCACCCGAGATCTAAGCACCTAGAAAGTGTGGGGCTAGGACTCAGCAATTGTGTCTCTCAAGAACTTTCAGGGCTAGCCAGATAGCTCTGTGGATCAAAGCACCTGCTTAGGTAGATGCAGGGACTGGGGTTTGATCCCGGGCATGCCCTGCTGGCCCCGCCCCCTGGGCACACTGAGACAGCAATTGAGACTGGACATTGCAGGTGGCACATGCCTGTAATCCCAGCGCTTGGGAGGCTGAAAACAGGAGGATCTGTGTAGTGAGACCCCGTATTAAATACATTAGAAAAAGAAAAAGACCTTTCATGTGATTCAGACCACCACAGGGACCATCCCGTTGACCATTTTCCACAGGAATATGGAAGGGAAACATTTACTTTCTCATTCACCATTTTTATAGTTGGTGAAATAGGTCTGTACATCTAGGGGTAAACTGGAAAACTTAGAGATTTTAAGTAAATAATCATGAATAAGTTAAATTAGACCATCTAAAGTAGTGCCTGTGAACTAAATGACAGAAATACACTTGTTCATTAGTGCTCCTAAGAGGGAAAGGAGCAGCATCACACCATCGGCCCAATTTTCAATCCAACGATTTCTAGTTTTGCTGGAGAACACAGCATTTCTTAAGCCATCCAGCTATCCTCACAGGTAGTCTAATATGAGAATTTTCTGGAAGTCAATGCTAACCTCTGGAATTATGGGTTATTATTTTTTTTTTCTTTTGAGACAAGGACTCACTCTATAGTTCAGGCTGGCCTCAGACTCACCGCAATTCTCCTGCCTCAGCTCTCAAGGACTGGGATTACAGGCACATGCCACCACGCCACCATGGCTTTCTTTCCTAAAACTGTTTGCTCAGTTTTATAGAAAATCTAGAGTAAATATCAGTTGTTTCCATAAAGAACATTATTATGCATGAAAATCATTCAGGATAAAGTTTCTATTAGATTTTCTGAATTTTGGAGAGATTAATATCGCAAAGGATTTATGAGAAAAAAACCCAAATGATTGCAAAGAACTGTTATGATGCCTATAATCTTTAAAATACTTCAATGTATGTGATATACATGTGAA